AAAATTGAAGAGTTTTGTTCTTCAAAACGTATAATATTCTTTTCAGTGTCATTTGAGAGCATATTTTCAGAAGCATCGCTTTACCAACTTTTTACAATCAGTTAAAATGCTTCGAACTTTATTCATAGTTTTTTTATCTAATTTTTCTTGCAATTGATTATATATTTCCAATATCTATCCTCGTAATTATTGCATCTTTTATTATAATCTGCAGAATCTGCTTCTAGATTTTTAAATTCAATAAACTCTAGGTAAACTTTAATCAATTCTTGTAATAGCTCTCCTTCAGGAAGAAGAGGTGAAAGAGCAGTAATTATTTTCTTTCTTTGTTTTTGAATCATGTTAATTAATTTCTGAACTCTTATTTCTAAATACTCAATTTTAGTGCTTTTTACTTGCTTAATATATTCTTTTCTAAATTTAGCAACTTGTTTTTCACTAAACTTTTGAGGAATTATTCTTTTTTCTACAAATAAATTTAACTTTATGCAAAATTAATTTCCACTTTTGCTAAACAAAATTTAAGTCATTTTAGCAATCAATAACTATTTAATTTCATTCTGACTATCACCTTCCAACTTACAAGTTATAAGATTTTATTTGTATGTGAAAAATTTTATATAAGTTAAAAAGTGAAAAGATATTTTACTAAATATTTACATTTTACTAATTTTATATTATTTAATTATTTGTAAACGTTTAATACTAGATAATGGAAACCGTTAGAAAGTCCAGAGCGAAAAACTTAGATTTGTAGTCATGGAACTATTTCGTAATTGTACAACAATTGTAATTAATAACAGATTGACTCAAATATTGCAAATATTGAGCGAACATTTGAGTTAAATAATGCATAGAATTATATAGTCCTTTGCTAAAAAAAGTTTTTAACCTCAGAAGAGGGAAAAAAAGAAAAAAAACTCTTTTCCCATTTTCGCAAAATTTCTGAAAAATGATAAAAAATAATACTATTTTGCGAAGAAACCCAAACTGTAACTATTCTAGTTCACCAGTTAGTAATAGAACCTCACCACCACCAGCAAAAAGAATTCAACTTACACAGCAAGAAAAAGAACCACAACAACAAACACCAGTTCAGTCAACTTTCACCTAAGAAAATAAAAATACAACTGAAAAAATCATGAATATTGATCCAACTTCACCCAACGAAAATAAGAGTAAGAACGTGAAACCCTTCTTCTAATAGATAATAAAGTTCAAACAATGACCAAGCAAATGATGCTTCTGAAAATATGCTCTCAAATGACACTGAAAAGAATATTATACGTTTTGAAGAACAAAACTCTTCAATTTT